AATAATAATCATAATCATAATCATAATAATAATAGTAATAATATAATAATAATAATAATAATAATAATAATAATAATAATAATAATAATAACAATAATAATCATAATCATAATCATAATAATAATAGTAATAATAACAATGTCAGTAATAATAATAATAACAACAATAATATGTAATGGATGAATATGTAACTTATAATTGATGTGTAATGAATATGTAATGCATTATAATTAAAAACACTATAATTTTATAGTGAGCAGAAACTAAAGATATGAGGAACCAAGCAATCGCACATCTTACTATTTCGGTGATATTTTCATCATAATTGATTAATTACATGCTTTGAATATTTTAAATGAATTAAAAACTAACAATAGGAGAAACGGAAGAAAAAGTTTGAGGAACAAAACAGATTTCGAATAATTAAGTCTTTACTTGATTAACTGTAATATTTTGTATTTGTTGACATTTGCATAAAAATGTATGTTTTTGAAGGCATAAATTGAGCCACTTTACTGTGTTTAATATTACTTAAATGACGAATGTTTGCTAATTTTTCACCATTTATTGTTTCGCATCTTATTGTTGTCAGTTGTTGTAATTAATTGTTTTAAATAATTTAGTCAATTAAAAATTTTTAATTGATATATGCAAATTACCTCATATATTTCACGCTGTTCACGTTGGTGTAATTCAATATCTCGACGTTCATTAGGACCTTCCACGCTCATAAATATGAATGCACCAACTAATGTATACGCTATCAATATACCAAGTGGTATCAGTGGACGAAGACCAATCGTTATAAATGCATGAATATTTTTTATTCCTTTTGCTATAGGCATCTTTCACACTTAAATTCAGAAAATAAAAAAAAATTCAAATTTTTTACCAAATTTTTGTTGTTATTTGCTTGGTTTTAACCAGTTATGTCATTTTTACACATACGTTTGCTTATATTCCAAATGAATTAATTAAAGCCAAAATTTGTTTCTGTAATTGGAAAGAAAAGCGAAATGAAAGAAGTTCTAAGTTATAATGAATCGTTTAAAAATTGGAATGAAAAAAACATATTGGAAATGATTACTGAAATATTTTGAAATTACAACTAAAACGCATTCCTAGCAAATATCAACACAAATGCCGAATTTATAAGTTAAAAAGTAGACAAAAGAATAGAAAAAGGAAAATGAGGAATGAATGAACGAATTATTTCAGTGATAAAACAACAATTAAAAGAGATTAAGCATAGATAAGATACTAAAGCAATTTCATATTTCAACATAACAGTAATTTTTTTTTTTGCAGAAGATTATTTGATATGAAAATTTGCCGATAAATTAATGGAACTAAAAAGAAATTCAATTTGAACCGTTATGGTTAATCATTTACTGACTTCAATCATTTATTGATTTCAAATTAAATTTCTAACACGAGAAAATGAAGTAAAATGGACCTGAAACGATGGAAAGGAATAAATCGTAAGGTGGAAAGCTTGAGGAAAAGAAAAAAAGAACTTTAATGAAAAAAAACAGAAAGTACTAATTGCTAATTCGAAATCTTCTCATTTGTTTTTCAACAACGTTTCTGAAGATACGATGGGTAGAAAGGTCAAGATAAGAAGTCAGGCAATATATCATTTGGCTCTAAAAATTTACCTCAACTACCAGGAGAAAATGCATGTAACAATGTAAGCGATTATTACTGCTCGATAATTTATGATAAGAAGGATAAAAAGAATTAGAATTCGGGGAAATCTTAGTTTTAGTTTGTAGTGCAGAATTGCAGTGCATGCATTTGGATTTGCAAACAATTATTGCTCAATTGCAACACGAGTTAGAAATAACAACTGAATTTTAAAACTTTATCATTTTTAAATTGTAATTTAACCACAATACATCGTTGCGCACATCTGCAGGAATTATTGCTTTAATAATTAGTAAAAGGAGTAAAAAGTGAATTTTGAATTTTATCATTCTTGAATAAAAATAATAAGCATGATGCAATAGTAATTGTAATATCAGCTGTACTGTTACGGTACTTTTTTGGTTTGATGCGCAATGTTACGTAAATGTATACTTTGCTTTTATCACTAGTGATAATAATCCGAAAATTCCAATAATATTTGAAAACAGTGATAACAATAATAATTATGAATGTTAGTCGTAATTAATAGGGGAAATAGGACCATATGTGAGAATTAGGTATTAATTATAAAAACAATAATAACAATTCGAGAAGAAACAATAGTGTTAAGTGAGATAGTGATAATGATCATCCACAGAGCAAATGCCAAAAGTAATGCACAACAATTAAAAAATTTGTGGTGATAATAACAATAATGACAATAATCAGCATGACAATATTAGCTTAACAGTTGTATTCATGGTCAAATATAAATAGCTACGATTGAAAAATAATAAATAATATGAGTGTCTAAAAGCAATTACAGCATAATTATTGTCATGATTTATCAACAGTTACAGACTAATTTAAAATTATTCAAAGTAACTAATTGTTAAAAAATGATGATAATTAATGAAATAAGTGATTGACAGATGAACTTAAACAAGCATGTAAATAGTTTGAAGTGATGTTTTAACAGCTGTTAGTTAACAGGTAAAATCTCATGGGGTAGGATATAGAAAAAGTTTCCAATATGCTTTTTTATCTTTTCTTCCTTTCTTCGCACTTTTTTCCTTTCTTTTTTTAAATGTAATAAGAATTGATCACCTGTTTCATCCCTTTCTCTTCTAGTTTTCTGTTTTTTAGTGTTAAAAATAAATTCAAAAAGCAATTTTAGACGATTCACTCACCAAATATTACTTTTACAAATTTCTCATCATTTGACAAATATGCTTGAGCCAATATTAAATATAAGAATAATATTTAATATTAATTAACACTCAATACTTAATATTAATTAACTTAATATTAATTAATTAATACTCAACATTAAATAACACTCAGAATAATGCTTAATATTAAGTAATAATATTAATTAAATGTATTATAAATGACTCATCATTTAATCAAATATCATTCAACAAATAAGTTTCCATAAAGCAATTTCAAGCCAGCAATTTTTCAAAAATTTCCCGAATAAGGCTATATAAAATTCCAATTTAGAACATATTTCTTATTTAATAATAAAGAAAAAGTGATGGATTGATTAAACTGAGGAAGATAAGAGTTAAATTAATTAATTTCAAAGGTTTAATTAATTTCAATCTCTTTTTAACCTACGGTAAATAAGCTTAATGGATAAATTGGTACAAAGAGAGAAAAAAAAATTAATTACCATTAATTCATGTTTCCTGAGAAATAAATTTTCGCGAAAGAAATTTTCATTTTCTTTCGTTGCATAATACATGGGAAAAATGCCTTTTAAGTTTTTTTTTAAACAATAAAATAAACGACCGAATCGAAGTAATGGAAAAAATAAAAGAAAATTGAATACTAACTCTAATGGCTTTAATTTAATCATTTGTAAATAAAATGAAATAAAAACTTTTATATAACTTTTTTCCCGCTGAAAAAAAGGTTGACTTGAAATAATAGCAAAATAATAAAACTGAAAACTTTATTTTGATAAATTTTTGACTATTAATTCTCTTAAACATTGCTTGTTTACTGTTATTATTTAGAGCTGAATTTTGTGGAGTAAAATTAGTTAAATCAGTATAATAATTGTGGTTTTAGCAAAAAAAGGTCCTGAATCAATTGCTAATTAAAATTCATTAAACTAAATTAACTGCAATAATTGTTTAATTTGCAAGAATACATTTGATAATTTTTCAGACATAAATTAGATTAGGTTGGAAATTGTTAGGTTAGCTTTCGTTACATTTTGTGCATAATGTGAAGTAATTCGTTATGAATTTATGGCTGACAGTGATGTGGTCAAATATTTACGCTAAAAAATTGCCCATTGTATTTCACATTATATTTGCCCCCATTGTATTTTAATCCATTCTGATTACATTTCTCTCTTAATTTATTTTTTTCAATCTGACAAAATTTTTTTTCCATTCTCTTCCCTTGTTCTATCTCAAATATATCGAAAAAAACTCAGAAGATTAATTACGGAGAAATTAGCAATATAAATTGTAATTTTCGCGGCAAGTAATTCACTACGAAAAAATTACAAATGAAATATTACGATGTCGTAAAGAATGAGTCATTTGTTCAACTTTCATCTCCAAATTTGTTGATTAACCTCAATTGAAATATTGTCAAGTAAACCACTTACTGTAAAGACTTAGGCGTATTTGTCGTAATATTGTAAAAGACTTATATGCAGTTAACGTATGTATAAACCACCTTTGGTTTAATAATTAATTTTATATGTAATGTCTGGAAGTTCCTAAACCATTTCTACTATATAAAGAGCTAAGATCGAGACTTCAGGTTTCTTTTTTGCTTACACGAGATCGATTCCCGAGGTCTTTTCTCTTACGTCAGGACTTGTTCACTTTTTTCTTCATTTTTCCACTAGACATAGTCGAATTGCTGCTCTCGTTGTTCCGTTCAACTACATTCCGTATTTGTTTGGATTGTCTGATAATTTCAACGACGATCAAATTCTTCGGTTATCGATAAATGATAATCAGACAATATTCAACTCTGCCCATCAACACAAAGAATTTCATCATCAGAACTGTTTCACAACGAATCATATACAAAAATTTTGCTAACTTTAAAAAATAGACTTGGAAATTTATTGTTTAATCCAAAAAATTAGTGGGTAGTCTATTAAAATTAGAAAAAATTGCTCAAATCTCTTGCTTATACATATTAAAGTTCATAGTAGCATTTTTGAAAATATTCAATCCCAAGTATATTGAAATAAAATGGTAGAAATAAAAGTAATTAGTACTCACATCGCAAATAATTGCTGCTATTATCAAAGTTATATGACATAAAAAAAACACGTTTTCTGATCAGAACTTTTAATCGAGATTGATTGCTAAATTTTCAATTCAATCAAATATTTGTTGCAAAAGTTTAATCGGAATCGTTGTTTACTGCTGTAATTTTGGAATTATCAGTTTCTTTAGATTTTGAAGAATCCGTATCACACAGTGAATGATGCGTGTCTTTTGAATTTACGCTTGTATCAGAAAGTAACTGAATTGGATCAGACCAAGCTTTTAAAAGTACGGCACGTAAAGCACTACGTGGAACTGATATATCACAAATTCTTTCCCATTTTTTGCCATCGAAACGTACGACTGTTTTAGTCACCGTTGTATTGTAACCACCAATAGCATAGAAATAATTTCCCATTTTGCACATTGCAAAATTTGATCTAAGGAAATTCTTTTTTTTCAAGTGGAAAGTTAGAAGGCAATTTGATTGGTTAATTTAAATCGACGTTTTTTAATTGAAGTTTCATGCTAACAAGCTAATAATATTTGAAATGAAATATTAAGAGATGAAAGTTTTAAATACTACCTATGTGGTCGTAATTGATTTAAATTGTTGATAACTATTTATTAAAAATGAAAAATAGAAGTCTTTGGTCATTCACTTATTGATAAACAAAAATTGTTAACAGTTGGCTAATATTTGCAACAATTGTAATTTTTATAAAGAGTTGGAGAAAAAAATTGATCAGATTTCTGAAATATTTCAAAAATTTCAAACCTTGCTATTGGCATTGGTTCAACGCTTACAGTATGAGCACTTCCAATTCGTAGGATTTCCGCGCTACTTAATCGATTCATACCATCGAATCCACCGGCGATTAGTATAAAATCTGTACCCACCGCACATGCAAGGCCTAGAAATACGGTGGGCCTTAATACAAATGGCTTTCATTGCATAAAATATATATTAATTCTGCTCACGCCAACTGATTAACGACTATCGTAGTCATGGATATGGCCAAATAAATCTTTTATAAACCGTCAATTCAAGTATGCAAAGAAGCCTGAAATATTTCTTAAGCTTACTCGTGCTATCATTTTCTGGCTAAATACTGCTAATAACGAAGGAATGGACAGAAGGGAAATTTGTAGAATTATCTTTAGGGTGGAGAATTCAAAGAGATAGATTTCGTTTGATGGAAGTAGACTTAAGTTGGAACGAATACTTACCAGATCTTGGTGTACTCATATGAGCAATTTCAGTCCAAATATCCATTTCCGGTATATACATTTCAACCGTTTGTAATACCGTTTCACCGGTATATCCACCAGCAACATACATTTTACCACCCATTGCACATGCTGCTGCATCCGATCGTCGTTGTACCATATTCCTGCAATTAAATTTGAGGGAAGAATTCAACGACAACACTTCAAAATCATCAATGTGCATTAATTTCCTTCAAATTCTGTAACTTAATTTGTTTTTAAAGTTAAGAAAGACTTCCCCATTAAATAATTAAAAGATTAATTAATTTAAGATTGCAATAACCGAATTTTTGTCCATTGATTTTTGCGCGCATCATATACCTCAGCAGTTCGGAGCCTCAATCTACCATCTGAACCACCAGCAACAATAATTGTACCATTGATTTCACATGCTGATATATAGCATCTGTAAAAATTCCAAAAATTTTCTTAATTAATATTTTCCTTAGAAAAAATAATTTTCACATAATATTTAACAAATTTATAGCAATGTCTTTTTTTACGACAAGTTGATCAATTGGCTTTTTTTCATGAGAAAACGATTAAATAAATGAAAAAAAAGAGCAGATCAAATGCAATCAGACCCATGATACTCAAAGGATAGGTCAAATTAAATAAAGATTAAATAAATGAAAACGAAAAAATCGAATCAAATAAAATAGCTAAATAAGTGACCCTTCGAACACTTTTATAATAATATGCTTATAACAAAAATATAATTATCAAGTTAGGTTAAAGTAAATTTTTAAACGACTGCAATTTTCAAAAAATTATTATCTAATTATTACATTATTCCATTTGAGGATTATGCTATTTTTACAGTAACCATAATGTAACATATGGTAAGGTTTATCATTTTAACAATTATGTGTAAAAACTTACCTTGCATGATGCATTGGAGCTAATTCATGCCATTTCTTTGTTTCACCATCGTAGCAGCGTACGGTATTGAAATATTGCGATCCTTCGAAACCACCGATAACATACAATTTCTAAACTTCGTATTTAAAATTTATAAGTCTACAATAGCCGAATTTCATATTACTTAAATATGCAAATTACAGGATTTTATTAACATATATTATAAATTTCACTAATGAAAAAAACCACAATGAAATTGCTTTCTATATACATTAAATCGGTATTGAACATCCAATAGCAAAATTTTACATTACTGATAACGATGCATTCGTGATAAGCTATTCGACGATTATCCTCAAATGTTTCCACACGTCGCCATTTATTAGCATTAATATCTAGTACTTCAACAATATTTGATGGCCCACTTTTTTCCCATCCACCAATCGTTATCAGCAAATCACGATGAATTCTTTTTTCAGTATTCATTGACCAAACTATATTTTGATCGTCGATATTGTTCATTTTAAAACGTATAAGGTCTTTCTTAATTTCATCCTTCTGAAATTTGCATAATCTTTTCTTAATTTCTTCTCTTTCATTTCGATTTTTTGACTTAATTCTAGTAAATTCTTTCTTCTCGAATTTAATGTTATCAATCCGTTCCTTTCTAAGGAATTAGTTAAATATTTCAAATGAGTTTTTCTAGACTTTAATAATGCATTAGTAAATAAACAGTAAAATTATTTCAAGCTAATATTTGTATGTGTTACTCATTCGAGAATAGAAATATGCTAATTCACTTAGAAAATTAAATTTATTTTATTATAGTTTATTTCAAAGTTTATTTTTCTAGTTCATTCCATATAATATATTTTATTTTTTAACAATTGCAAGTTGTACTGATTTTTGTTACGATAATTGTAGTCTTTAATTAGAACTATGTGTGATCGTTTTAATCATAATAAAATGATACGAAAATTCTAAGTGTAATTTATTTCTTTGCAAACATTAATTATTCTCGCTTTTGTTACACAATTAAATAAAAAAAACTATTAATATTAGTAGCCATATTAATAATTATTATTATAACTGTAATAGCAGCAATAATTAAAAATAAGAAGGTAGAATGCCTAAATTTGAATTTGTAATTTGAATTGACGTGCAATTAAAGTAAAGATTTGCTGGACCTGTTTATCATTCAACAAATTATAGCGAATGGACTTCACTAATTGACGACAAAATGGCATGCGTTTTTTACGATCAATCAAAATCCATCGTTTGAGAAGAATCCAAACATCCATCTGACGCATATAAAATTGTGACAAATAACTTTTCAACTCTTCTTCCTCAATTAAAAATTTAGAATTTAGCGAAAACTTTTTTTATCAAAAATATTTTTCATGTATTCAAAATGTCTAACATTAATCAACATTGATAATAATGAGAAAAAATGGCTTAATTAATTAATATCAATCAATATACTTCATCATTCACTTTTAACAAATCAGCATCCAAAATTTCGAATAAATGGTTGCTTTTGAGGTGAAAATAGTCAAGATTACAACCGTTGGTTACAGATTCATTAACAGTGTACAGAACATATTCGAAAGTCTACAATGAAATACTAAAAGATAGCAGCATCAATTTTCGACTCTTTCCTTTTATTAATAGACAAAACAATGTTTGTTTATTTTTCACTTTTTAAAAGTTTTGCTTCAAATAAAGCAAAAAACTTTGTTTAAACTTTTTTTGTTTGATCGGGCAAATATTTGTCACACATGCGCCACACAGCAATGCAGTTTTCTTCATTGATACCATCCACAAAGTTCTGCACAATACATCGTTTTATGCTTTCTAACTTCCAGTCATTTGCCTAGAATTTGAATTTTATAAAAATTCATAAATTCCTACAAAACAATTAAAAATTCAGACTAAAAAGAACTGGTCGAATTTTAGCCAACTCATAATTGCTTTTTTTCAAAGTACCCAAAGCAATAATATGTTTCAATCACTTAAAGGTAATAATTTTGAATTATTGATAATATTCTATAAGCGAGATTATTTAATGATTAACAACACAAATTATTTTTTTTAGCATACAAAAACTTTTTGTTCATTTAAGCAAAATATTTTCTCAGTAATTTACAAATGAATAATAACGATCATTGTGAGGAAAAATACACATACAACTTTAAGAATTTGTTCCAATTGAAGCCAATCTTTGATATTATTACTTTTATATTTTAAAGCATAAAATATTTCCTTTATCTAAAAGTATGAATAATTGATTCCAATTTTATTTCAGAATTTTCAATCCTTTCCAAAAAAGAATCATCCAGTTCCAAATGTTAAAATATTATATCCTATAGATGTATTGAACTAAAAGTGTCGAAAATTTTGAAATGATTGAGATAGAAGAGAATTTACGATATCGATTGGAACTGATGTATGTATGATGTATTGTTGAGTAATTTCATTGAAATTCATAAATGGAATAAGGTAAGGACAACGATGTTCCACAAATCGGCTATTTAATCGGTATCTCAAAAGAGTTTACATTGCCTATTTTAGCCGTATAAATTATTTTGGTACTCCAAATTGATAGGTACTGTAGATAATACAACAATTGTAAACTGTCGCAATATACTTGATTATATTATAATAAATAAAAACATTGCAAGTAATCATAAGTTATATTCGTATTTGTCATAAATAAATAATAAACAGTTTAAATTATAACAAACTAAACTTGTGCTTATTGTTAGTAAATGTTAGTACCGTAGACTACTACAAAATACATTATTCACATTAACGTTAATAAATAATGACACGGTAAAGCACCGATAAATAGATTAGCAGCATTTTTTATTGATTAATTTTATAAATGAGGTAGAAATAAGTTGTCGCATTCAACTAAGAAGAAATTGAGGCATTTGACTCGATTACGATGAATTGGATACAAGAATGTTCCTTCTATGTACTACTTGTCTTTTGCTAATATGATGTTATCGTACCTATCATTATCATCGGTGATAATGATGCAGTCACATATACCATTAACATCGTCATCATAAACATTGCCTATTTCCATATTACAGTATGACTTGAGCGTTGAATCGCAATTCTTCTCCACCCACGTATGGAACGCAGTGATTAGCGTTATTAAGAATAAAGAAAAATGAAATTCAATGTGATACTTTAACATTTTTATAAATGCCGTTTGAAGAATTACCAATTTGTATAGCAAATTAGATTTATGCAAATTTAAGGTCAGACATTCTTGATTATGGTATTTCTGAGCTGTATGATATTGTTCTACTGCAGTAATGTTCATGGTATTTCCATGATACTACCTTCAGATGAATGATATTTTACTGCTTTCAGGGGTCTGCTACTTTTATGTTATGGTAAATTTATGGTACGTTGGAGATGTTTGTCTCAAATGCATGATATCTTACGGTATAAACCTGCTGCCAATGTATTGCACGTATATGCAAACTTTTCGCACACAATTTCTCTAGAGTGCGAATAATAGTGACATCCGTTGACAATGTCCATCTGGATAAAATCAATAATATTGGTAGATGAAATATCAGTATGCTATATACGTGTCACTACGTGGATGTGAGGTTGGTATTATTTACGCAATCGTAATGGATCACGTTGCACTAATCCAGACAAAAGGTCAAGTAGATCAGTTGGTGATAGTGGCTTATTCTCACAGATATGACCTTACAAAAATTAAGTCTTTTCTCCTTCCAATTTTCATCATTTAAACACTACACATTTAAGCTAACAGCCATCTTATTCATGTAATATTCAAAACATAATTTTATTCGTCGTACTTTTTGTATTTCTCATTTTCTTCCTTTTCACTTTTTCATTTCAAATTAATCATTTGTTTATATAAATGTAGAAGAGATAAAAGGAGGAAAAAATAGAAAAAACTATTGGTAGCATTTATTAAACTTGCAGTAACTAGAAAGAAACGAATTGGAAATGAATGGAATGTCTGAATTATTATAAATTATTGTGTAATTAACAAAATTTTTTCTTTTAATTAAGAAATTCTTCCCTTTGTAATACTTTGAAAACATCAAATAATATAATTTATTTTAAGCATTTTTTCATTTGTTTTAACAAAATTATTTGATGAATTCTTAATTACACAAATTCTTTCAAAATCAGCCAATACAGTAAAAATTTCCTTTTTGTTTGTGGTTTTTACGGAAGTAAAATGAAATAATATCAACTTCAAACTATTTAGAATCATTTAATTAAACCTTCAAAAGTTTTAAAATAAAGACTGTATATTACTGTAATATTTGATAAAAAAATTCTATACATCAGATATATAGGTCGATGGATTTTCATTACTTAATATCACTGAACAAGATGACAAAATTTTTCCGATACGATTTCTTGCAAGGGCTACATACTTACCTTCATCATCAACCGTACAATTATTGATCCGTAATATCCACCAATCATTTTTTCGGTCGATATCTGTAGGTGAAATTTCTTTAAGGATCATAAGCAAAATCATGTCTCACTTTCTTCAAACTTTTATGACAACCGATGACATTTGTCTGTTACTAATTAATGCGGTATTTTATTTTTGAATGAATTCACCGTTACAGTAATTTCAAAGCAATTTATAACTTCCGAACAGATATGCGAAATCTATTAAAGCATTCTGCGTGAGAACTGCTTGTGGAGAAATCTTGCGTAAGGATTTCATGTGCAAGAGCTGCATGTGTAATACACGAATCCTATGTGCAAGAATCTCATCTGCAAGAATCTGCAAGAAGAAATGCATAATGCTATGCAAGAATTGTATACGCAAGTATCTAATATTTCCAAGTTTTGTTTGATAATTCAAAATGCAATTATCATTCATTTTTTCTGCTTACCCATTTGCTTCACTTTTCTTTAGTGAAGATATAGCTAAGAATTTCTTGAAAATTGCAAAAGTTTTCCAATCCAATTTGATGTTTTTATAATAAAACAACAATTAGAAATGATGTGATCAACAAAGACAGCAAATTGGAGACATTTTCCAAAAGACATTTTCCATTTATTTACATAATTTAATAATATCTTATTCAAAGCTTACTTATTCGCTGACTGTTGATAATGCGACGATTACGAAAGTAAAAGGTAACGTAAGGTATTGGAAAGCCTGATACTCGGCATGCTAATTGCACGCAATCATAAATTTCATCATATTTCAAAAGTTGAAGAAATTTCGGCTCAATTCCAGCCAGATCATCATCTACAATGAAGCAAAATATTTCTACTTTTTAAATAAATGATGAAATTTAATTCATCTAATCTTTAATACACTTTTACTATTAATATGCTAACCCGGTTAGAAGTGACAAAATTTAATTTATGCATACCGTTTACACGCAATACGCTGATATCGGAAGCGATACAATTTGTTGCTTCCACAATACATACAATATCGCCTGAATCCGATACATCACAATCAAATATTTCCAAACAACAATCGAAACCTTTCCGCCAATATCGATATCGTCCACCACTTATGATCGCTTTCGTACCAATATACCAGGAAATATTCAAGTCGAGATTATCTGCAACGCTTTCTCCTACTTCTTATATTTTCGTAATTTTGAAAAATGTCGGAATTTTTGATTTCCTTTTTTTTTCCATATTTTCTTAAGTATCAAATGGAAAATTAGTGTCAAGCAATATGAATTGACTATGATCACATAAGAGATTCTCTCATCCATAATACAAAATTTCAATCAGTTATTTTTTTTGCATAAGTTTTTTTTTTTTAATTCGAATAAAAATGCTGCATTGAATGATACTGTTATCAATCCTGATAGTGTGATAAGACTAAGAAAAAAATGTTGGCAATAGAAAAAAGAAAAAATTACCAATGCTGAAATTTATCAAAAGTAATGAATAAATTTATTAGCTATTGGTTAAAGTACTTCCAGTTATCTAATATTATACCTCTAACAACTAATTATTCAAAAATTAAGCATTTTTAATAAGCAAATAGGATATTTAGAAAGCTGACTGACCAGAAAGAACTACACCAAATAGCATGATCATATCACCGGTACATACATTCCATTCTTTTTTTAGCATTTTCACTGATAATTTACCAACAAATGGGCCTTTCGTTTCCTACAATAATCATAAAAGTAGAGACAAATATTGTCTTTCCCTTAACTATAAGCTAATAATTGAACTTGAAATTTGATTATAAAATTGCTTTAAGTTTTTCATTTTCTGAAATTTTTTTTGAAAATTTAATTTTGAAGAAAGCATTCGCTTACAATTATTGCAAGCGATGAATTAGTTTGCTGAAATTTTTTCAGAAATGCTCCGCAATTCGGGTTTATATTATGCATTAATTTTGTCTTTTCCACTGATGTAAGTTTATTGAACAGCTGTTGAATAATCTTAAAATGTGCGGAAGTATTACAGTTAGTTAAAATTTTAAAATTAAAATTTAATCGTAATAAATTACTTAATTATTTTTTGTTTTAATTCTAATTTTTTTTCATCAATTAACATTACTAAAGCAAATAAAGAAATATCGAAAAATTAGTTTATACTAATGCATAACACAGGTTGTTAAAATCAATTAACCATACTAAAATTATTAATTCACAATTAATTACCTAACATAGTCTGTATATTGCACTTAAAAAACACTTGTCACTTTTTTGCTGTTTGTTTTAAAAGAAAAAAAATTTAAAAGAAAACAAAACATATTCGCTGCTTTTAGATGATTTATGCAAATTTCTAGTAATTCTTTTAATTTTTGATTCAAATATCGATGAATTCATTTCTTTCGATGCTACTTTAATGCCTGCCGCTTGTTTTGAAATCTGCAAAACAAGTCAACAGAAAAATAATAAAACAAAATTCAGAATGCAAATTTAAATAGGAAAACTAAATCACTAAGATTATTAGTATTCCATTGTTAATTAATGAAACAATAATTCTTATTTATGTTGGGTTTCAGCTCTACAAAAACTATTTTCCATTTTAAAGTATTTAGTAATTCATTGAAAATTAGCGGCAAACAGTATAAATTGGTTAAGATTACACAAAAGGCTTTTCAGCCACAATTCTTAAGTAGAAGTTAATTAATTGACAACAATGTAAGAAAATCTTTACTGATTTTAAATTTAACAAAGTATTCATTTTCATTTTTCTTTTCTTTTTAAACAAATTTCCTAAATCTTAAGAAAAAGTTAGTTTTAAGCATATATAACACCATCAGAAATTTAAAATTCAAATGATTTAGCGAAAAGTATTAAGATTTAAAGAAGTGAACACTTCACTTTACCATAACGGAAATGACGGCATTTGAAAGGAGCAGAAAATAGTCGCAGTAATCATTTTGAGGACACACCGCACGATACAATTCTCATTTGTATTCAACTGAAAAGTCATTAATTTCAAGTTTCTTTTTCAACTCTTTTATTAAGGAAAAATTTAGAATATTTAAATATGCTAGTATTTGCTAAACCGCATGCAATAATAACATGCATGCAATAATAGCATGCATGCAAGCATGTCAACAGG